TTGGCTGCCTTGTTGCTGAAATGTGCGACACAAATAAACTTTATTAACTGATTGATTTGTGAAAAAGCAGATATGCTGCCCAATCACTTTTTTTACTTAGATTTACTAGAGTCTACAAAAAGCTATAAACTCTAAATGGATTATTACAGTGTATATTTTTAGCAGAAATAGAAATCATTTCATTCCTGTTCTTAAAACGCATTCGGTTTAAATCTGTGTGTAAGTTGTAGTGAAACTGATTATTTAAATATCCACATTAATCTTGAAACCTTTGTGTTTGTAAACATGCTCTACCTCTCCAGCTGTCCCTGGCGCCTTTAGCCGCAGCTTTTATACTCCCCCAAAGCTTCTTTAAGAAACATTCCCCCGGTTCGGCCATCAGGACGACCAGAGCCGCAACGAGGAAGAGCATAACAAACTTCATCCTGCAAAACTAAAACGTGTTTCAACCCAAACTAATAACATATGAAATGAGTAATAAACATAATTAAATGTATTTTACCTCTCAGCAGGCGGAAACGATGCCAGAGGTTCTGGGTAAAGAGGGAAATGAGCGGTGTGCATTTGTCTCATTTTATACTCATCTGTCTTGTGGGCTGGACTCAAGTTTCTCAATCTTGTTGTTGCATCTTTACCTTTTGCAATCATTGTTCTGTGATTCAGGTTTTGCTTCGTCAGATGAAGGTTTCCAACTTCCACCTTCAGAACTGGATCTTTGTGCAATCTGCTTGCATAAGTTAATTAATTGCAATTTGTTCTATAAAATGCTGTTGATCTGGTGAAGCTGCAGAATGTAACATTTATTAAAATAAATGTTTATACCATCCGTTTTCTAACATCCTTGTCCCTTAGTGGAGACAAGGATGGTCGCCAGTCTGTCCCAGGGTAACACAGAGACACCTAGGGACAATTTAGAGAGGCCAATTAACAAGACAGTCCTGTGTTTGGACTGTGGGAGGAAGCTGGAGTACCTGGAGAGAACCCAGCATGCAGAAAGACCGGGAATCGAACCCAGAACCTTCTTGCTGCAAGGCAACAGCTCTACCAACTGCACCACTCATGTTTATACCAAATAAAGTATTTATTTTTGAAATAAAAAATGTTTGAGGCATTAATTTTGTAAACGTGGTTGTGATTCAACATTGAAATCTATAAGATCTGTGTTTGCACATTAATTAGATGTAAATCCCAAACAGGAAGAGGTCAGTTATGCATCATAACTGATGTGTTTGTAAATATATATACATATGAACGACCATACAGTAGATTATTTGAATTAAAGGTTTAATCAAAGCACGTTTGCAGCATCAGCTGGTCTTGCTTAGCAGAAAATTTAACAGGTTTGTGACATTTTTGTCTAATTGCTCTTTATTTTTCTTTATTTTTCTTTATAAGAGTGAAAGCGGAAAAGCTAAATGCTCCGTCTTGCGACCCAAGTGCCGAATTCTGATGTTTGGCGAGTCTTCAGGCGTAGCGATGGCGTTCGGGTTCTTCTGGCTCTTTCTCATATTTCTGTCTGTATCTAGACGAAGGAGAAACTAAACATTAGATCATAAAATGTAATTCATTACAACAATCAGTGTTTAAATGTGAAAAATCTAAAGTCCTTTGACATTAAGTTTGAAACAAATATATCGTATTATAAATTTTATTTATGTGCACAGAAATGTACAACGGTCTATTGGTGCATTCACAGTAAAAAAAATAAAAATAAAATAAATAAAAATTTCCACCAAAATCTCAGAAATGTTTAGATTTATCTCAGAATTAAAAAAAAAAAAAAGAGGAAATTTCTGAGCTCCAAAAATCGAAAATGTGCAAGAAAAAAAGTCAGAAATTTTCCAGAAACATTTGGAAATTTCTGAGTTTCAAAAGTCAAAAACTTTTGAATTTTAAATCTCAGAAATTTCCAGTTTTTTTCCAGACAATTTTGGAGATTAAGCTCAAACTTTCTGAGTTTTTCTGGTAAGTTTTCAACATTTTGAACTCAGAAATTTTCATGTTTATCTAGAAAATGTCTGAGATTAATCTCAAAATTTCTGTGTTTTCTAGCAAATTTAAACTTTTTAAAATCAAAAATTTCCAAGTTTATAGAAATTTAAAAAAATTTTTAGAATTTGAATGTTTTGCTGGAAATTTACGCCTCCTGTTCATTCTCCCTACAGTGGCCCTAATACGCCATTACAGGAACGTTGTGACTGACGGGCCGATTAATTTGTTTGTGAATGAACTTCTATTTTCCATTTTTCAGAAATAGGGTTCTGCTTTTTGAGAACTACATGAACTTTGAACTTAAATGAATCAGAATTAACTTGAATTTTGAACCAGTTCTTGTTGACGGTGATGAGAAAAGCTCACCTTTCTATTTTCTCCAGTCTCCGCTGGTGTCTGTATTCTAAAAGCAGGGAAGGGAAGAAAGTTACTCAGAGTTGGAAAGATAAATTAAAAAGAGTCTCAATCATGTTAACCTTCTTATTTGACATTTTGTGTCTAACCTCTGAATCTTTGTCTGGCTCCTGTAAACATGGACTTGCCCGCTCTCCAAACAGAGCGTAGAAATCCCTCTCCAGGTTCGGCCATCAGGACGACCAGAGAAAGCACGAGAAAGATCATAACACACTTCATCCTGCAAAGCGAAGCACAAATTTAAACATTTAAACCCAATAAAAACCCGTAAACGATATAATTACCTCTCAGCAGGTTGAGACGGCGTCAGAGTTTGTCTTAAAACCGAAGCAGATCTGCATCTGCCTGAGTGTTTTTCCCTAAATCCTCGTCTGTTGCGATGGGTTGGACTGTTTCTCAATGTTAATGTTGCATTTACTTCTATTGCAACCGTTGTTTGGTGTTTCAATCGGTCACCAAACATTGAGAAAGTGTTCGTACCAGATCCAGCTTCCATGTCTGACGAGGACGACGCTTCTTATCGCCCTGGATCAGAAACAGCAGACATGAGAGCGATCACATCAAATGGCTGCAGACGTGTCGCATTTAAACCACAAACCTGAACTGATGATGGAACAAAGTGGCATAAAAATGATACATGGCTTAATATGTACAAGGATTTTATGCATGTTTTGCAGCTGTATTTGGAGTAAATACTTTGAAGAGCCACTTTTATTGCAGACGTAGGTGAAACAAAACATCTCCTTAAAATGCAAAAGCAAAATCTATTTGGTGCAAATATCTTAGCTCACTTACAGTCACTGTTCAGCAAGAGACAGTAGCTTGTTAATTCTCTAATATTAATGAAATAGTACTTTTTTATTAGCGGATTATTTCGCTTGTAACCAGATATTTTTCCCGTTTATGAGTGAAATAATCTGCCAGTGAATCTAGTCATTTTTCATTAATATTAAAGAATTATTGACTTAAAACAAACCCGTATATCTCGCTCAAAAGTTACTTACGAGTTATTTTTGTCTTATTTCAAGTCAATTAAGATATTCGCACTAAGAAACTAGACAAAAGTACTTGATAAGATTGAGTTTCTACATTGCATAACATATTAGCTTTTATTAATATAATTATTATAATTTCTTTTGAACTCTAACTGTTAAGCTGCTGGTGATTTTATACATGTTAGCTGCTGTTTTTTTAATTCATAGAAATAAACATCGAGTTGACTTCAGATCTGGATTTTATGATCTATACTGTCAGGCAGGTTTTTATGCTTTTATAATATCCGGCTTACTGTTAAACAATGCTCTGCATTTTTCTTTTAAAATATTTGTACAGTACATTTAGCATGTTTAAATGTCAAACAGTAATTACACTGAAGTAAATCTACAAAACAAACATTATCTCACTTATAAATTACATTTTTATATGAAGTCTAACATCAGTTTCTTGATCAAATGTAGGATCCATTTTCTCTTGTTTGCAAATCATTTGAAGTCGAACAATATATCATGAAATTACGCATCAAATAATTTAAATATATCAAAATAAATTTGCAAGTTTATTCATGAATCATATCATTGCTTTTATACAAACAAACGTTGGCTATGGCGTAGCGCTTTCTTCTGTATGTTTGCATTTAAAAAGCAATCTTTTTATTCCATCCTTTTCCTCTTTGTGCAAGCAGAAAGCTTTTCCTTAACGTTTATTTGTGATCAGATTAAGTGAATCAGCGCTGATATACTGCCGGCGCCGGCGGCGGCGGCGTGGCTGGTGGTTGCTGGTCCTGCATGTCCTGCTTAGCACTGCAAACAGGAGAAAACACAAAATTAACAGCTTCATAATGGTTCAACCATCAAAACCTCTTGAATAGAAATTAAAATCTTAGGTTGGGGTAACATTTCTAAGATGAAAACAATTCATCCCAAACACGTTGACATAAACAATTTAACATTTCATAAATTATGAAACTGTCAGATGTTGGTGTGTTTCATTTTCTGCTCCTGCCTGGAACAGAATCTACCGTCGCCTAGCAACCTGTCAGCCAATAGAATGAAAGTGTTATTCTGGGTGCGTTTGTTTCCTTCTGCTGGGCGTGCCTGTGTGGCTACTATCAGAAAAAGACCCACATGCGACCAGAGACGTTTTGTCTGAGCAGTGACAAATTTTGAGCACGAGGAGAAAAGTTTGAGAAAACAGTGAGTATTTGAAAGAGAGCAGAAGTTTGGAGTGCAGGTATTACATGAATTCCTGTTTTCAAAATAAAAATGTGTGGCAGAAAAATCCCCCCATGCTTTTGAATTAAAAAAAAACAAAGAAACAAGCCACAATTAGCCAAATGGGGAACAACTAAAGCCTGGCAGCCCGCCAGGCTTATTATACACTTGAGGAAACCCCCCATTTCAGATTTAATAAGTAGTTTTACCGATGATTCAACCACAACCTGTCCTTAAGGAGCATTCATGATGCTGACGAGGCCGCAGATGAAATGAGTTTGACTACATGGCTAAAAATAGGCAGAAGGCAACTATTTATTCGATTGTGTGCTTTTCATAACCGATTAATCTTGTTTTAAAACAACTCAAAGACTCTTAAATTAATTAAGTTCAAAAGTAGATGCCCAAAAAGTTTTACTTACTTTGCCAGTTTCTCTTGTCTCCTTTGGTTCTTATATTCTAAACAGAAAGGAAAAAAATAAATAAATGTATTTCATTTATTCATAATAAATGTCTAAAGGCACAAAAAGTCAATTAATCCAGTCATTTAGTGATATTAAACACCGACTTTGTACCAATTTGATTATTATTAAACATTGCACTCATAATTTAAAACTGCTTTAAAATACTAAAAAGTTGTGCACCAATGCAGTCGAGTTTAATCCGTTTGAGTTGAAATGACTGAAAACAACGAAGAAAATGTTTTCTCCGTTTCACCGCAAAAATACAAAATCTTACCAAATATTTCTGGGTTAGTTTGTCGTGCAAATATTTTAGTACACTTGAAATAAAACAAAACTAACTTAAAAGTATCTTTTCAACATGAAGTAGGAGCTCATTTTAAGTCAATAATTTCATAATATTGATGAGAAACGCAGATTTGTTAAGTGAAATAAGCTGCCAGGAAACATAAGTCTTCCATCAATATTAAAGAATTATTGACTTAATCTCCTATATCTTGCTGAAAAGTTGCCTTAGTACTTTTGAAATAAAGCAAAACAAGTATTTGCACTAGAAACTAGTCCAGAAATACTTGTGTTTTTTCTGTATTTGGTCTGATTTGTGTTTTTTGGGGTCTGATCAGGTACATTTATCTGTTTATCTGCATTTGTCCGGTACTGCATAGCTAACCTTTATATCCCTGCCTGGCGCCATTGTAGATGGCCTTCACGCCTCTCCACAGAGACTTCAGGAAGCACTCTCCGGGTTCGGCCATCAGGACGACCAGCGACATCACAAGAAAGATCGTAACAAACTTCATCCTGCAAAACAAAACTAATGTCAGTTCAAGCTGTTAAAAAATGTAATTTCAGCTACTAGAAATCATCTTTTTACTTGGCAAAGGTTGGAAAAGAGACCACCGGTTGCTGCCAACGAGTCTAGGTGAAAACTTGAAGCCAGTCTGAATTTCTCTCTTTAAATACCTTTTCATGGAAAGGTCTGAGGTTTTTAGTTGCATAAATGCTGACAAAATGGTGATTTTTTCTTTTACCTTCATGTTGTAAGCTTGGGTTGAAATTGGTACCACAACCTCTGATAGGCCATCAAAGCTTCAGAGAAACCACCAGTGGCAGATGCTATCGCTTAGAATTGAGCAAGTTGTTCCAGTTCGTTGGGTAAACTAAACCCAATGGAGCCACCGCATGCTAGCAGATTATTAGCATCCAGTGTTTGATTACTGCATGTTGCACAGGAGCCGCTGGTGAACTGGTTTTCTGTGATTTTAGGGATCATTCACACCAGCCTTTAACCGAACTCCAGTCCGGTTTGTTTGGAGAGGTGTGAATGCACAAATCGATCTCTGATCCGCCTAAAAACCTCGGTCTCGGTTGAAGTGAACTCTGAATGCAGTGTGAATGCAAGCGGACCGGACTCCGCTCCAAAAGCAGGAAGCTAACTACAAGGCTCTGTGGGTTAGTGCAGGTGTTATGCCGGCTGCCATGGCAACAGAGAGCGAGGAAGAGCAGAATATAAACGGTTTAAAGTTGTTCTTCACCAAAGGGAACATTCAGCATTATTTTCCCTTTGCTACTTTTTAAACCTTCAATAAACGACAGAAACTGAACTAATTGTTTGTAGAATATGGCGGTATTCATAACAATCATCAAATAGGAAATTAATGCACTAATATCGACTAATTTACAAAGTAACGTGTTACTGGCATCAGACCAGTTTTTTCAGTAACGAGTTTGCTAACGTGTTGCTTTTTCAGTTTGGATGTTCTGCATTCATGCTGTTGCAACAGACTTTCAGGTCCAGTCACTCTCAGTCATCGTTGCACCGTTTCTTCTTCCAGCTGTGTAACTCTTCACTTGCACAAGTGTGGAAATGTTTGAATTTCACTCTTACAAAACAGTAAACACTGATATGTAACTGAGCAAATAATGGCCTTTTCATAAAACCGATCCATTAACTCCCAATAAAAAATCAAAGTCAGTTGCAGGTAAGGCGGAACAAATGACAAAAATCAGATATATTCTTTCAAGCACAGGAAAAAAACACTTAAAAACAAAACTATGGAAACTTTATTTCTTTCTAATTTAACATAAAAATCCCTCCAAACTCCATTCAAGAAAAACACATAAAGCATCACTGATGATTTTTCTTCATCTGGTTACATTCCTACCTAAAGTTGTCCTGAGATTAAGTGTTTCTGCAGTTTGACATCAAGCTGCAAATTACAGTAAAAATTCACTTCTTTTTAAATGAACGTTTTTATATTAATACTTGGTTTCTTGTTTTGTGTATGACAGCATCATCCTGACTGTGTGCTTTCACTGGAAAACAAAAATCATCCTCATTTCAAAGTTGCTCAAATGTTTGTACCAGATGACGGAGCAGGTGGGTGTGACACCACAAAGTTTTGAAACAAATTTTAAAAAAAAAGTTGTTTTTTTTACATCTTTCTTTCTGGAAAATATGTCGACACCTAACAGCTGTTTTTCCTTTTTAGAAAAAAAAGTGCTTTTCTCAGTGTGAATGTCAGTAAATTCGGTCCAAATTAAAATATCAACTTAGTAAACAAACTAATCCTTATTATTTATTATTTGAGACATTTAATGGAGAGTTTGTTAACAGAATCATTCTCTGGGTTATCACATCATGATAAAAATAAATGATTTAGGATCACGAATAGGTCATTTATTTTTCACTTTATTTAAATATTTTCCTCATGTATTGATGCGTCAGAATCATCCATGGCTTTTAGGTCAGTTCTGGTTTGGATTCATTTAATCACCAAATTGTAAAATTAATGTAGCTGAAATGTCCAGTTCTAAGAAAATCAAACTGCTTTTTACAGTTTTACACGTTTCCAAGAGTGAAAACAAGAAAAAGAAGAAAAATCCTCCATCCTTTTTCCCTTTAAAGACTTTTCTGTGATATTTATTCTTTACAGTTTTATTCTGAAAGTGTTTGGTTACAGTGGATTTTATTTAGGGGTATCAAAGTAAAACATGATCAATGCAAATTGATCTACATAAACCTATTAAATACTTTAAAGTCTGAGGTTGTAAAACTTTGCATGTTTTCTACTAATGAGACAATTTCAGCTAAAATCTATATTGTGTAAAAATCTATATTGTTTTTTGCCGTCTCCATTTTTTAGTCATAAAAGCTGAAAATTAAATATAACAACAATAAGTTTTTGTTGGAAAACAATTTAAAAAGTACAAAAAACAAGTCTTTTTAGTCTTTGTGGTGAATACTGTTGCTTTCCCTGCAGTTAAGCTTTGTTTTCTTATCAGTTTATTTCTTTATGAGTTGATCTGTTTCCTGTTTCATGTGAGGAAGGGCGGACACAACCGAACGAGTTCAACCGTAAAACCGAAGGGTGTTCTCACACCTTCTTCTTCTGACGTCCCTAAAAGTTCAGCCCTGAGGCTCAGCCTCTTCTTTCTGAAGACTTTCATCACATGAAAATAAGTTAAAACAATTCTTGGTTTGAATTTCCTCTACTTGTACTCTAAACAGTCAAAAAGCAGATTTAATATTATTTTAAGACCTTTTTGGATTTAATACTAGACTCAGAAGCGTATAATATGTTCTTCCACTTATTTCACAACAATCAGCCTCACATTAAGAAAAACTCTGAAAGAGCCAAATAACTGGTAAATTAGAAAATATACTGCCAAAAACCTAAACCTTAGCAACTATTTTTGGTCTAGTTTCTAATGTAAATATCTTAGTTTTGTTTAATTTAATCTGTACTAACATACGTAACTTTTCATCAAGATACTGGAGCTTGTTTTAAGTCAATAATTATTGAAAATAATGCGAGAAGTATCGGATCCATTGGCAGATTATTCCACTTCAAACAGGAGAAATGTCTTTATGTATCTGCACGAATTATTGACTTAAAACAAGGTTATATAATCTGCTGAAAAATTACTTTTAACTTAGTTTTTTTCTGACTTCAAGTGTGGTAGAAACTAGACAAACATATTAGGTCGGATTTTATGTTTTTGAAGTGTACAAGGTTTCCTAAATGATTTTGTGAACTTTAGTTTATTAACTCGTCTCTATTTTAAGTGTCTCCAATAATACATGACTGCCTTATTACTCTCATGGTTTAAATACTTTATAGCAAAACTGCAAGACACAACATTGTGTCTCATCACTACTTATCAAGTATTTCTAGTTTCTGGTGCAAATATCTTTGTACACTTGAAATAAAACAAAACTAACTTAAACTCAACAATTCCTTCATATTGCTGAAAAAGTTCTAGTTCAACTGTCAGATTATTTCACAAATTATTTTCCATGTTATTAGTGAAATGATCTGCCAGTGGAACTTGAACAGGGTTGCTAGGCGACAGGCTGGGCTTGGGTGGTGTTGCTAGGTAACGGCACCAATGGAACTAGAACTTTTTCATTACTATTAAGGAATTATTGACTTAAAACAAGCTCTAATATTCTTGATGAAAGTTTACTTTTAAGTTAGTTTTCTCTTATTTTAACTATGAATACATTTGCAGCAAAATCTAGATTAAAAAGAACAAAAATTTTGTGTTTTTGCAGCGAAGACCTTCTTGTCATGCACTATGTGTCCAACTCTCTGTGTAATCTTACCTGAATTTCAGATATTGCCAGTTGAACATTAGTCCTGTAATCTTATTTCATTTTATAAAACTTTGAAACTGTGCATCAAGAGTTACAGAAAATGATTTTATTTGCATGTCACTTTTGACAAAACTCTCTGCAGCTTTACGTACAATGCGGTATGCTTTGGCTGCACTCTGTACAGCTTCGTTGGTTTATTTTTCATTTTGCAAACAGATGCCACAACAGCAAAGTATTCAGAACTGATTCAACATAAAGAAGGTTGAAAAATGTTTAGAACCAAGAACTGCTGGCATATCTACAGTGGCCTCTTGTATCTAATCAAAGCGACGACGTGCAGATTGGAAGGAGCGTTTGTCCAACTGCTGCTGGTCCAGATCTTCCTGGTCCAGTTGATCCTGGTCCAGTTGATCCTGGTCCTGTTGGTCCTGGTCCTGTTGGTCCTGGTCCTGTTGATCCTGGTCCTGCTGGTCCTGGTCCTGTTGATCCTGATCTAATTGATCCTGGTCCACTTGTTGCTGGTTTAGTTGATCCTGGTCCACTTGTTGCTGGTTTAGTTGATCCTGGTCCAGTTGCTGTTGGTCTGCTTGCACTTCTGCAGCTTTTCCCCTCCCATGAATCAATCTGGTAGGAGAAAAATCAAGTTCACAGTTCAACGTATCAAAATAGCTGACAACAAAACAGTTGACTTATTTAAAAGAACCAATTCTAAATCTGTTTCTTACTTACATGAACGAACCAATGCTAAATGTTTTTATTTTATTTCAATGAGCCAAATCCTAGATGTTTTTACATTTTTAAATAAACTAATGCTAAATGTTTTTATCCACTTATATCAACTTATTTTTACTTGCGAATGCCGTGAACTGCATGATGGATTCCCTTAAAGATCCATCCAAAGATGCAGTCTCCTGGCTGAGCCATCAGGACAACCATGGACAGCACGAGAAAAAGCGTCGTACACTTCATCCTGCAAAAAATTAAAAACCATTCCTCTGTCATTGGCTAAGAAGTACATCTAGGTAAAATTAGACTGAGAATGAAGCTGAGAGTATTTGGTTCCTACCTTTCCACTGACTGATCAGATGCTGTTTGTGTGAGAAGATGATGATCTGCATCGTGGCAGAAAGCTGCACCCTCCTATATATGTGCATGAATGAGGAATTTGTAATATTGTGAAACACCGTGTGATTTTGCAAAAATCACTGTGTTTTTTGCAAACAAACACACACTCACACACACAGTGCAGAGAGTCATTCTGGAAACTTCTAACCTCTTTAAAGACTATCTTGGTCGCAGCGTTTCCGTCAAAGCACTACAACTTAAAAAAAAAAATAGTCTGGAAATACGGACAAATTTCAATGGACAAGTTCATCTTTTTTTTTTTATCTGTTTTTTGATCTTTTTTTGATCTGTCATTTGGGCCTCGAAAAATTTAATTGAAGATAATTTTAATCTTTTTTAGTCGTAATTTAACCGTGGCTGTTGGGAAAGCACAGAAATCAGGTACAGTGAGCTGTGGAGTAACCCAGGGATGCGTTCTTGATTCATTCATGCCACCATAACTTTACCGCTTCTAGCTGCCTGAATGCGATTAAAGCTGGAAGTCCTGGATGGGATGAAACTCCTGCTGCTAAATACGAGTAAAACTTTGGGACGTTTCTGATTAGCCACTCGTTTAGTAGCCGTCACACCTCACCGGCTAGGGAAGTGGGATAAAACTGCGAAAAATTAAACTCTAGACAACAAATACTTTCAACCTGGATTTACCATGAGCTTTTTTTTAAATGTATTTATTTATTTACTTTTTTTTTTTAAAAGAAGTCAGAAACAAATATGAAATTACAAGTCCATGGAGAGGAATAGGGCCACTGAAAAAATATTAATTCTGACTTTTTTCTCAAAATTTGTTTTTCTCAGAATTTTGACTTTTGATCTCAGAAGATTAACATCTAATTTCTAAGAAAAACACCAGAATCCTGTGATTAAACTCAGAATTTTTACTTTAATTCAGATTTTTCAAACTAAAGTCAGAATTATAAGAAAAAGTCAAAATTTAGATATTAAAGCACAATTACGAGATTTTCAGGATTAAAGTCAGGATTCTGAGTTTAAAGTTTTCCATATTAAACATTATGAAGCCTTCCAACAACAAAATAATCTTTGTTTTATTGTTGACATTAATCTCCCTGATAAAAGTTGCTTAATTTTTGACTCGGCTTTCAGAAGTTCAACTTTGGTTGCCATCCAGGGCGTAAATCCCTTCTCATTATTGGGGGCGAAGATGAACAGGAAAATTTCTTAAGACCAATTTTTCGGGGGCGACAAAGTTACAGTGAAAAGTAATGTAAAATGTGGTTTAAATAGTTTTTAAACCACATTCTAGCTGTAGGACCAAAAGTCACTAGTCATGCACATCAGATGTTTTTCTCAGTAAGCAACTTATTGAGAAATAAAACTAAAACTCAAATGTTGCTTCTTTGTTCAGTCTGACTGATTTAATCTCTGCTACACCTTTACAAAATTTTAAGGTTCTAAATAAAAAAAGCTTTAATGAATAACTTCTCTTAATAAAATTCCTCATAAACATTGATTTATTGAAATGGTTCCCAAAACAAGTTATGGGTTATTTAAATTATAACTTGTTAAGTTGCTTTATTTTTAAGCCTTTTTTAGTTTTGCCATGGTGACGGAGAACCAACAGGTAGATAGGAATGAATATCTGGGGGATATTATATCTTAAATGTAATATTTAAAGCACCCGGGTTTATATGGAAAAATATTCAGATTTTATTTTGTGATTTTAAAGGCTCTACGTTGAAGACAGTGAGAAATAAAGGCAGCTTTCTGTTTTTTCTATCAGTTTTTGGCTCCCACACAGAGCTGGTCCACTTGCTCAGCCTCTCCTCCCGTTTCAAACTCTTCTAATTAACTAAACGTGAAAGAGTTAAATATGAGTGAGATGTTTGCTACTTTTGACAAAAAAGCTTAAGTCTATGAAAGCAAAGTAGCAGCTTTGCTAATGAGCCAGCTCATCATGATTTAGCTAAAGTAATAGAATAACAAACTGCAGTCTGATCTTTATTGTTAATGTGTTTCTTATTGAGCAGTGAAAGTAAATAAAATGTGTTACATGTGTTTTAAGTATTTACTTACTGGAGGGTTTTATTCTTGTGCTGCAGGGCTACAGCTAACAGCTAGCTCCTTCAGTGGCTCTGACCAGCCTGTGCCATTCAGCCAGCTGTTGCTCTTCCTTCAAGCTGGACTGAACCATTGTTCTAGTAATGGTAGGGGGGACCTAAAAATTAATTCTTATTTTGTTCTGAGATAAATGGCAGATTTAGTTTGTTCTTTGTTTCTTATGTCTTTTCATATTGATATTATTTAAATGCAAATGTTTCTTAAATGATTTTTTTGGGGGGACAATTCTAGACTTTTCCAAGATTGGGGGGGTGCGGACCCCACCAACCCCCCCGGGATTTACGCCTATGGTTGCCGTTGAAGCAGGCGCCTTGTTTCACTGTAGACTTCACACATTTTCACAGGGTTTTGTTTTGACCAATCCTTTAGTCTACTTCAATTTTGTTTGTAAATTCAAAATATCTGAAATGAATTAGTGCAGACTCAGCGAGACTTTTGAGGTCCTCTCTCCTGCTGCGAAGCGTCTCAGCTTTAAATTTCATGGGTTTTTTATTGGCATGCGTACATTATTCCAAAGCTGTGAAGAAAATTATCAAATTAACCCAGTAACTAAGATTAAAGATGAGCGTGTTTGTTAATCTCCGGTTCAGGTCTCCTGACTCGCTGTCTGACTCTGGAGCGACAGAGACTGTGAATGTCAGTCAGACTTACTGTAACACAGGAAGGACAGATTTTGCATCTCGGCTCATGAAATAACTATCTTAGCCAAGTCAGTTTGAATTAAATTATTCTAAGAATTGTTGGATCTCCTACACACTGCAAAAACACAAAATCTTAACAAATGATTTTTATTTCTTTCAGACAGATATAGGAGCCTATTTTACGTCAATAATTTGTCAATATTGATTTCTAAAAAGTACTATTTCCACTAGAAGATTATTTTATTGATAATATGGGAAGAATGATAACTTTTTATATATATCAATACTGAATAATTGTTGGCTCAAAACAAGCTTCTATTTTTGCTGAAAAGTTTCTTGTAAGTTAGTTTTGTCTTATTTTAAGTGCACTGAGATATTTGCAGAAAAACATTTGGTGTTTCTGCAGAAGTCCAGTCTGCTCTGTCTGATGTCCAGATTAAATCTAAAGTATTTTCATTCCTCAACCACGTTCACTTCTTCTCCCATGATGGAAATTACATTTTGAAATGACCCTTTTTCTTTCTAAATCCACTGTTTGGAAGTTTTCAGACCAAATGTCATTGTGCTTGAATCAGTAAAAGTGGACCTAGCAGCTCTTATAGCTTATGATTACAAATTTCCACCAATAAAAAACCACATTTCTTAACTTATTTTCTTTATATCAGATACAAATTGATATTCATGTGCAATTTCTATCTGTTGTTGATCAAATGACACTTTAACAAGCAGACAAACTGTATATTTTTAGAAAAAGTTTGACCAATAACTTGTTGGGAAAAACCTGATTTGAAAGCAGCCTCAGGTTTGGCCTAATTAAATCGTCGCTGAGCAAACTTGTCTTTCAGAGAGCGTTTGTCCAGCTGCTCTTTTTGCAGCTGGTCCAACTGCTGCTGATCCAGTTTCTGATCCAAATGCATCTGGTCCAGTTGATGCTCGTCTGCTTGTTGTTTTGTTTCTTTCCCATGAATTAGGAAAGGAAAGAAACAAAGAAACAGGGCAGTTATGTAACTGATAATTCATGTTTTCTTATTAATGATGTTGAGACGTGATGAGAAATCAATTTCGGAAATAAGAGCAGCAGAAAAATGTGATATTTACCTAGAAATGCCATGAATGGCGTGAGCAATGAGACCAAAAACATCCCTCTCCAGGCTGAGCCAACAGGACAACCAAGGACAGCACCAGAAATGCTGCGCTGCACTTCATCCTGCAAGGAAAAAGACAAATATATGCACGTAAATATACGAACAACTATTCAAATAATGGTAATCATTTATTTAAATTATTTGCTTACATGAATTTGTACACTCAGTATGGTGAAATGTTAAATTTCCTTAAACATTCTCAGGTAATTTCAGGTCAAAAGTTCAGTTCTTTCCTGAGACCTGGAGTGAAAACGCTGCAGGGTCACAGTGGTGGTTATGAGCTGCTGCTGCTCTATAAACACATCCATCTGTGTTTGTTATAATATTGTGAAACTGGTTTGCAACATTGCAAAAGCTGGACGGTGATGATTATGGCATGTGGGCCAGATGGTTGACCATCTAATCTGAGATTACAGCAAAGTTGGGTAAGACAAACTTTCACTTTTTTAACTTCAAGCTGTAAAAATACAAAACATTACCAAGTAATTTTATCTATCTTCTGTTGAAAATATCTTAGTTTCATCTTATTTTAACTGTACTAACTTAACTAACTTAACTTTGTTGTTGTTTTAAATAATTTCTTAAATTTGATAAAATTCTAGTTCCACTGGCAGATTAAAAAACAAGATATTTTTCCATGTTATAAGTGAAAAATAATCTGATGTTTTGATGTTTACTAAAGATTAACATCAATTAATTGGTGAATAATTTGATGGTATGGGACCGATTCCTGACTGACAAATCAATGAAACAGAAAACAATTTATATTTTTCTATATTGTATGTTCTGTAGTATTGGTATTTAATATAGCATTAGTAACATAACATATGATGAAGTTATTACAGAGGGCTCTTTTAAAAGCTCTAACATTTTTTCATCTAAAAAGATAAAGGAAGTAAGTTTCATGTTCTCATTCCTCTAAAAGTTTCACTGCAAAAACAAAATCTTACCAAGTATTTTGGTCTAGACGTAAGTGCAAATATCCCAATGAGACAAAACTAACTTACAAGTAACTTCTCACCAATAAACATGAACTTGTTTAAGTCAATAGTTCCTTAATATTGATGGAAAGTTCTAGTTCCACGGGCGTCGTTACCTAGCAACGCCTGCCATGCCCCGCCCCGTCTCCTAGCAACCCAGTTCTAGTGCCACTGGCAGATTATTTCACTAATTGCAAGGTATTTTCCCCATAATTTAATTGAAATAACCTGCCAATGGAACTAGTGGTAGAGCACAAACTAGCCAGTTTAAAGTCTCATTTTAGTCACACTTCAGTCCTGGCTTTGAATAGGCCATTCATTCAGACTTCCTGGTGCTTCAGATCATTTTCTGCTGCATAACCCAAAAACAGTTGAACTTTAAGTCCAACTTTAGTTTTTTGTTTTTTTTTTCTTTAACAATTTTCTGGTAAAAAAAAAAAAAAGCAACATTCATGGTTCACAATTTGTCCAGTGTCAACATTGAGTACTAAATTATAAGTACTAAATTTGAGTTTATTTGGCCCAGTAAAATTAAATTCACACAAATTTTGATATAAACCTGCAATCTAAAGGTTGATCAAGAAAAGTGAAAGATTCTCTTTTGTATAAATCTGACATTAACAGATGGAAATAATACACAAACAGTTCAGTTTATTGTTCTGCCAAGCCATTTTTTATTTATCAGATAATTGTATCAAAATCAATTTAGCAAAAATCCTTCAGGAAAAGCAAAATGCATGTTTATTTTGTAAACAGGTCGGGCAACTTGACCCAAATTATATTTGGGTCGTTGCCTAATAACGCTGAAAATCCTTGCGTTGCTGAAATGAACGTTTTTGCATTTGTAGCTGGTCTTTGTCCTGCTGGTCCAGTTCTTGCTGGTCCACCTGCTGGTCCACCTGCTGGTCGGCTTGTTCCATTGCCTGCTTCTTTCCAAGGACACCCCTAAGAGAAAAGTTCAGTAGGAAAGAGCACAGAGAGATGAGGGTTAAAAAGTATAAGTTGTATATTTGGCAAATTGACGTTTTGTTCCCTTACGATTTTTAAGATGTTACCAAGAACTTAAACATCTTACCTGGCGCATCGTCCCAAAATATGTCCGATAAAACCTTCTCCAGGTTCAGCCATAAGCACAACCATGGACACCACCAGGAATACCACAGCCAACTTCATCCTGCTGAAGAAGAAAAACTCCAATGAACACTTTTGTCTGAATGCTATAAATAGCTCACTTTGATACAGAATATTTTTAAAATGTCTTCTTTGGGGCGATTAGCATCTGTTTTGGTCACGAAGGAGGGACAGAAAACTTTCCTCAAAGTTTGTGATCAATATTTTCATGCCAGTTCTTTAATTTTCAAACTAATTGGCAGAAAATTCCAGGTTTCTTAAATATTCATATGTAAATTCAGCCAAAATGTATTTATTTCTCACCTTTTTTCTGGAGGTTGACAGTTGAGTTTCACCAACGTTGGTAATCGATGTGCTGATGGACTGCTGTCCCTCTCTATATATATCTGTGTCTAACTGTGAGTTACTCATCATAATGCAAAACTGTCTAAAATTTTGCAAAAACAGCGTGTAAAGATCTGACCCAAAAGTTGCATCAGACAAACACCAAAGTGAATTCAGACGAACTGGTGATAAGAATTTAGCAATTCGATGGTTTGTGATATTTAGGTTTCTGTTTTTACATTTCAAGTTTCTAATCATCAAACTGCTTCAATGTAAGACAAAGAAACTGGAATATTTACAAAAACATCACTCAGAGAAAAGGGGGTTGAATAGTTTTTACACACCGCACTTTTCAGTTCTTTTAATGAAAGAATATTTTTGAGTCATGTATAAAGGGACATGGGGAAAAAAGGGATTCTGAGTTAGTTTCTCAAGATCCCGTGAAATGTTTGAAAAATCAGGAGTTTGTTTTTTTGGGTGGAAAGGCGTGTTTATTACACACACACCTCTGGAGTGTGTCAGTTTAGGAACCAGAGCAGTTCTAGTGAGGTCCAGATGCATAGAAAGTACTAAAATCACCCTAAATTGGAGTTTCACAAATCACAAACTGTCTTAAATGTTTTGCTACTAAGACAGAATAATCCAGTCTGGGTTTGAAGAGTTTAGGTGTTGTAGTTTTTTAACTAGAGTAGATTAAAGATGCTGAAGGGAGTGAAAAATTTGGTGGAATCACCCATTTCCCAAATCAGAAGCTGCAATCGGAAACCAACTTCAGCTTCGTGTCTCTTTGCATGATGTCCTCATCTGGGACGTCTCTAGGAAACGATGAAAATTGACCTCCATGTCTCTCGTTTAGATTCCACTACCAGCTTTACAGAAACTGTATAAAAGCCTTTTCACCCAAAAAGGAACTTAAAACTAAGGCTGCATTCACACTGCAGCCTGAACTGACACAATTCTGATATTTTTAATTTTATTTTATTTTACAAAATGTGACCTGTATCAGATCTTTTCATGACAGCCTGATACACAGGTCTGATTCTTTTCGAATAAAACCCAGGCCACTTGGGAATCCGATACGTATCCGATTCAAATGTGACCAAGGCCGTTTCTCAATACTCAAGAACTCAAGAACGTACTTGCGTTCTTGAGTTCTTG